AACCTCTACCATCATTGTGTGAATGGGAAGGTGTGCTTTGAGTAGCCGTCCATTTACCCTTTACAATATATGTGCACTGGTCATGTAGCAGATATATTGCTGCAACTGTAGCCCAGGGTAGTGTTGTGTAATTATAGACAGGAAGTAGTACAAGACGTACCCCTTTACTCTTTTAAATCCTGTGAGGAGTTTTTACCTTGAATTGGAAGATGATAAATAAGAAATGCAGGCAGCGGCTTCTAGGCCAACGTTTGATCTGCTCTCTGTGTTGGTCAAGGAGCAAAAAAAACAGAAAGAACAGAAAGTCTTAAAAACCATCCTCTGGAGACCAAGAGTCCCAATATAACGTTTCATGGCAATATCATGCTCTAAACTGGGGCTGCTATTTTGAAATGTTTAGGATTCAGGGGACATTTTTTTCCAAACAGAGACACCATGTGAGACATGCTGAACAACAGGAGGACATAAGAACTTTAGATTATGGCTTTAATGCAGAATTCATATAACGCACACAATCATCATAAGAAAATCCACCTCCCTTAATCCAGATTTGATGGCATCTTGCAGGCCTTCTTCAAACAAAGTGTTTGAAAGTCAAACAGATAAGCAGATAGAGCCTCTTGAGGTAATTTAATCCTTTAAAAACTAATCCTAATAATTTACTGTGTGTTGAAATCAATCCTTTTATCAAGCCTGGAAACACAGCTGTGATTAAAAATAAATAAAAAAAGACCTGCATGTGAATCTCATTTCATCATCACTTGATAATAAACACTCTGGATTAGTGCTTCGTTCACCTCCCCGTCATCGTCGTCACCATCCATGTTGACATTTGCCGCCTCGCGCAGCTCGAAGGGCATTTGATGCCGCAGCCTAATTTGATAATTCCAATTAAAAGCATGTTCATCGTCGGTGTAATTACAGTCATCTGGCAGGCGTCCTCCCCCATAATTGTGCACAGTGACGCTGTGTTCATGTTCATGATCGTCTCCCTCTGACTCGACCTCTGACTCTGAATAATGTTATTAGACCGAGGCTGCAGCAGGTCAGACTAATCTTGTTATAGACAAGAAAACACAAGAAATGTTTTTTCACCTTCATGTTGTGTTGATGCTTCACCAAGAGTCGAAGAATAAAAGATAAGTTCATCTTTAAAATTAAAGCAATGAATGTGGTTGTGGGCTCAGTGCCGCTTCATGCTGATCATTTTTTGAGGCACAAAGTTGTTAGAAGATAATGGAAAGTTTGGTTAAAGTTACCAATCAGGGCCTCCTAGTGGAGGTCCTCCGCTAGAGGCTGGTCCTCCAAGTAGGCGGTGCGAATCCGACCTGTGGCTTCTTTCCAGTATGACACTCCCAACTCTCTCTACTCCCGATTTCTGAGTCTATCCACTGCACTATCCATGAATAAAGGAATAAAATGCCCCAAATGTAAACCTTAAAAAATGTACCAGTCAGTCAGCCAGCTTTGATTCTCCAGCAAAGTTTTAGAAAATGCAATCTGACAACTTATAACTCAGGCTCAAGATTGATTGGTTTCATTTGTTTGTTGTTTTCTGATTGTTTGCTTGTAATCTCAACGGCGTTGGAAACCAGGGACACCTGAGTGTCTTTTGGAGAATAAAAAACAATGCGATGATATTTCTGTTAATACTCATTTTTGCTTGGTTTGAGTTGGTCCAGTTTAAGTTTTTGTCCTCTGTGTGAAAATAAAGATTTTTCAGGGTCATGATATCTGACCCAGCTGATGGTACCCAAGCTGTGTTTCCATGGTAACAATCAGTGATCACCTCTGACCTGCTGATAGTTAGAGGAACATTTTCTGTGCGGGGTTTTCAGATAAAATAATGCAAGACAAATCCTGCAGAAAAGATTTTTATTCAAGCTTTTCATGTCAGTTCAGTTTTTCCAGCAGGCTCAGTTCAGTCCTCAGAGTGTGAAGTGGCTGCTCGCTGCGCAGACACAATTAATCAGTTCATCAGAATTATACTAATTAACTGTAATCAGAATAATGGAAGAAATGAATCAAGCTAACGAGACAAACATTAACTTGTTGATTATTTGTATTATTAATGTAATTACAGTGCGATTGTTAAAAAGAAAAATTGTCAAGCAGTTTGAACACATCATCATCAAATTTAGCTGTAAGATGTGATCTTAAATCAGATGGTGATTAGCCTAGTTTAGCATTAAGACGGAGCATATAATTTCCCCCTCAAACCACTGCTTGTCATCATTACATTTCTGTTTGTGTTTGAATTAAATAAATAATGTTTAAACATCATTAGTGTTCTTAAACAGATGGTAAGGCAGCCACATTCTATGTCAAGTATTACCTGGCACAACAATAAGAGAGTGATACTGATTTCATCAGAGTATACGATAAATTGAGAAATTAAAATTCAGATCATGGCATACAAAACGTTTTTGAATTGTTCCAACTGAGGGTCACAAGCCAACTTTGATTGGCTGTTACATTATTGTAGGAGGAAACAGAGCCCCATCAAAGTTAAGGTCCACTTTGACGTTTGTCTGAGTGTCTGACAGGATTACAGAAAACTTGAGTTAGATACCTTTTCAACCAGAACCAGCTGTAAACTCACAACCAAACCTCATTGACAAAAACAGTAATCTAACTTCAAGGAACGCTGATCCACTGCTGAGTGATCAGTCAGGACCTGTGTCTTCAGAATTAATGAGTATGATCTCATCCTTACTTTTAAGCTGTTGCATTGTGTAACATGTAAGTTACACAACAACACAAACTAACTATTCCAGGCAGCAGTAACACAGCGGTTTCTTTGTTCTGTTAGGTTTCAATTCTTTTTTTTGTCAATGGAGTCTGATGGCTTTGTAGAGAGTATGTAACAGCTGTTTCTGGTTAAAGAAGTGATCTAACTTTATCAAAAAAAGATGACCAATTGAAATTAACTGACTAACCTAACCTAATTTTGGAAACACCAACTTTTTTGTAGATGAGGTGTTGCAGCTGAAATGTGCAACTGCATGACCTAATTATGACCTCAGGCTTCTGAGGAAACCAATAGCATGCTTGAAACCAAAATCGAGTCCCAGTTAAGGGTGCTTCTGTCCAATCAGGTGTAAGTAGAGAGCATGTTGATGCCTCAGCACCTCTGTCAGTCATTAACTATTCACTCGACATCCTGTTAGAAATTACGTCTAGCATGAACCCAAACTGCAGAGACCAAAGTGAGAAAATCGAAAATTATAGGCTGGTTTTGTGACACAGAGTGTTAAAGTCTTTTTTATAACTTGAAGATTTAGTTGTTTACCTGTGACAGAGCTGTAGTTATAATTTGATTAAAGTAATCTGCTGCCTCATCAGACAAGTCCAGACTCTTGTGTGGTTATGGCCGGTCCAGCTGTTGTACAGTCGTATTATTTCCACCAAACATTTCTCAGTTGGCTTCCTCGGATAACGACCTGTCTTCCAAGAATAATGTTTCCAGATGCGGTTGCGAGGTTCAGAGAAATCCAAACAGGCTATTTCTACCCTGGTATGCTCGCTCTCCTCACTTGGACTTCAGATGGTTTGTTGCAGCCGGAGGAAAATGCAACGATGACACAAACACACACACAGTGCAAGCATATTCACAAACACATACCCAGACACACACACACATGCACCACAAAATAGCAGGTTGTGGCAGATTCCTGATTAGAAGTGCTGATGGATGCAGAAGATTTCCTTTTTTTCTTCCCTTTTTCTTGACTTGCAGGCTTCGGTTGTTGACGGCAGCTCTACGGCTGATGTTGTTAAACCTTCTTGTGAGCAAACGTTTCCCTGCAGATTAAAAGCACAGCGTGATGGTTATGATTCACTCCTGCAGCGGGCGGTCGCGCTGACTTCAGGCTCACCGCTGGCTGCTCCTTGGAGCGAGCCTGCAGATCTAAGTGGGGGCTGATGAAGACTAATGCTGCTTCAGATCCGTTAGCTCAGTGCTGCCCATTACACCAATTATGCTTGTGGATCTTTTGTGAGTTTATAGTGTGTGCAAAGTAGACCGACATACTGTACAAAAGGTACATTAGAGGGCAGCTGCAGGTAACATCGTGCACTGAACAAATTATGTTATATGATGATATCATATTTGATATCTATTTAAATATATAGGCCTGATGTCAAAGGTGTGACTGTGCTCATTTTGGGAGGCGTTGCCAAGCATTGACTGAAGCAAACAACCCTGAAACCCCTTCAACCTATGCTTAATCCTCCTCAGATCTTAATGTACATGCATACAAGTTATCTGCATTACAAAAGAACATGAACTCCCTCAGTGAAGCACACTGAAGATGACTATTTGTTATAATGTTCTTGTCCTTTAGTGCCTTGTTTTGGATGGATCTATGTGTATAGTTAGTGAAAACAACTGCACTCTTTCGAGGACAATAAATAATTGTTCTGGCTCAGCATACCTCCACAGTGAATCCTGCTGAGATTACAAACACATGTGGACCGCTAAATGATAAACATACTGCAGAACGATCCCTGCACTGTTCTTATTTAATTATTTCAATAAAATGTGTTCCGTCTGCTTTTTTCTTTATCTAATTATTACTTGGTGTTTTTGCTTGCAAATGTATTTTGGGAATATGTAAATGGTGTGCTCTGGTATCGCTCCTTTCTAAAAAAAAAAATTGACCAATTAAAATGCTTTACAGAACAGTTTAATCATACATCAAAACACGGATGGCTGCAGCTTTGAGAACAATTTTGTGCCTTTAGTTTCTGAAACTTATCTGTGTTTTGTAAATCTGGTCTGGGTGTTTTGTTCTGTTCCACACTGAGAGCATATTTTTCCGGTTTTGAAAAGTGAAAGGGAGACCGAGGACATGAGAGAAGCAGCCAGTCAGGCCTATTTGTGTTGAATCATGAGTCCGGCTGCAGCAGTCCGCCGGGGCTGATGTCAGCCCTGAGGTATGCCGCTCTCTGCTCGCCTGTAAACTGACCCCCTCCTCTTGTTGTGTTTCTATTTCCAGGGCGTGAGCGGTATGTCCGTGGATGAGAAGCCTGAAGCCCCCATGTACGTGTATGAGTCGACGGTTCATTGTACCAATATCCTCCTCTGCCTGAACGACCAGCGGAAGCAGGATATCCTCTGCGATGTGACCGTCCTGGTGGAGGGCAAGGAGTTCCGCGGGCACCGGTCCGTGCTGGCTGCCTGCAGCGAGTACTTCCTGCAGGCCCTGGTGGGTCAGGCAGAGAATGGCCTGGTCATCAGCCTTCCGGAGGAGGTACGTCCATCAATCACAATGTTTTCCCGACAGATTTCTCCTACAGGGTGGAAATGCACTGACTTTAAGACAATGCAACAATAAAAACTGCCCTGACCAGGTAGTCTCTCTGCAGGCCTCTCAGCATCCATGGCCACACAGAAACTGTTTACATTCTCCCACTCCTAAAAGTTTTAGGACTGGGTGTCCCTGAATTCTTCCTGAGTTGCTTATTGTCACATGTCCCTCACAGCGTGTAGTTTACATATGTTTGTATTAGAATGGCTTCAGCATTGGAAGCTGGGCCCCATTAATATTTGCTATGTTTATGTAGTATGTTCATTAAACAGAGTGTAAAACCAAATTTCCCCTCACAGGATTAATGAAGTATGAATTATTATAATTATATCATTAATATGAAAGCTGCTCATGCCCATGAAATAACAAAATGTCACACTTCCACGTTTAAAAAGTACCCTGATCTTCTGCATAATTGGGCAATAGGAGTCGCAGTCTGTGGCTCTAGTGTGCGTTCATTATGTCTACAAAATATCTCTAAAAATTAATTGCATTTACAACTTATAGGATCTAATAACTTTAAAAAGAGCTATTTAAGTGTTCATATTGGGAAGCTGAGGTCAGAAATGTATCTGCTGATTTATTGATGTTTCTTTACCAATGTAAGCTCATGAGAAAAAATATTTTTGGACCCACTGGCGTCAAGTAATGCTGCAATATCAGGTCTGTCCACCGTGTATAATTGGCTTCAAAGATCTGTGCATTTTGTTGAGGCTTGAATTCACCTTGTTGTTATGGAATCAGGTATGTGGAAAAGATGGAAACTGAAGTGACAGAGTCTGACTCTAATATGACAGTTTTTTATGAATGCTACATGTAATTAGACACATTCACAGTATCAACAAAAGAGTGTAAAAGAACAAAGCCAGCAGAAAACACTTCCTGTACGAAGATCGCACTGGCTGCTCACTTATTGCGTTATATATAAAAGTCATCAACCCCTCATGCTCGCTCGTTGTGAATATTTTGAAAGTCGGGTGAAACATTTTGGCTGTTTGCACACATTCACAAGAGTGTTTTGAGTTGGTACTGTTGACCCCCAACGACTCTGTCTGTTATAATGTTTGTGGCACCTAGAAACAGAGACATGACCAATTAAGGATCTGATTCTCCCTCTACAAATCCATCTGATCTCACTTTCATTATTGAGCTACAATCCAACTTTCAAAATTCTAAATATAAAGGATTCGGTGCAATAATTTGAAAAGTAGAGGTAATCATTTAATCCTTTTAGTCCCTTTATAGATGCGCGGTGCACTCAGAGTCTTTCCCCAAGTGCATCGCAGTGATTCCACCTGCTGCCTCTGTATTATATTACCACGTCGTTACAACTCCTCTGACTCCACTTTGAGATTATTAGCCTTTTCTTCCGTCATGAGAAAGGACGGCGGTGAGTTTTAATTTGGCGCGTGGTTCGCTGGAGGATAAAGACTCAGTGAGAGGTGTGAGAAAGTGCATTATTGAGTCTAAGGGCTGTGATTGCCAATTAGCACCTGTCAGCCATGACACTGCCGCCGCCACCACCGCTGCTGTCAACGGAAGGTAATGTTTCATGGCGAGATTTACGCCACCTCAGGCTCAGCTCATCAGGTTCAGTAACACCCGTCTCTTGCTCACCTCAGCTCCCACACTGTCACTTTCAACTGATCCCCCATTGGAGCGCCTGAACACACCATGAAAGTGTCCCTCTGACGTATTGATGTCAAACACACACACACACACACACATGTGAACATACATGTGCGGCTGTGAAAAGTGGGGCACATCCCACATGTGCCGCGGCGGCTCCTCGCTGCGTGCATTAATAAAGCCTCGCCTGTCAAACGCTCGCTGACAGAGAAGTTAGCGTCAGATTGTCGTCTTATGTAAAATGAGAATCAGCGGCTTTTAACTCAAAGAGCAGCTGCGGGGATGCTCAGGCTGCTTCCTTTCATTCACCCAGTGTGTGTGTGTGTGTGTGTGTGTGTGTGTGTGTGTGTGTGTGTGTGTGTGTGTGTGAATAATGCATGAGCTGCTGTGTGTTTCAGGTGTGAGATGGAGTGTGGAAAGTAACATCTTTCAATGACTCTCTCTTTAATGTGTCACAGATAGATTTACTCCCACTGAGCTTTTCACTGAGCCTTCTTCTCTTTGTCTGACATCCGACAGATTTACTATCTTTATCTGTTTATCTATAAAGTACACGGCCTGTGTTCTCTCACAGCAGATATTCAAGGTAACTAGCCCTGACAATGTCCTCTTTCGCTGTGGGGAAAGGCAAAAATAGTTCTTCTCATGACCAGAAATCTAATAAACATAACGCAGCGTAATGGGACCAAAGGTTTTGTCATCCCTTAAATTCTACTCGCTTATAAAGTCTTGTTTTTAGCCTTTGCTTGAAGAAAAGAATACAAGTGAAGTACTAATACAGAAATGTAAAATTACTCAATAGTGAGTCTTTTTTTCAAGATTTATGTATTTTTACTTTTGGCCTTTTTATTCCTTTATTAGAGATATGACAGTGGATAGAGTCGGAAATCAGGAAGAGAGAGAGAAATGAGATGAAATGCAGGAAAAGAGCCACAGGTCGGATTTAAACCCGGCCCGTCCGCTTAGAGAACTACAGCCTCCGTACATGGGACGCACGCTCTCACTACTACTCTACCAGCGCCCACTTCTGCGTTTAGTTTAGCCAGATATAAATATGGATATATATATTTATATATGATTTGATTGCATGACTCTGAACGTAATGTGATCTGAACCATCTTTTACCTGCCAAGGAGAACAGCTTTTAAACACCTGTACGCATGGAATTAAATAATCCATGGGACTAGTTTGTGTCACATGGATTCCATTTTTGGACTTTCATCTTCACAAGCTGCTGGATATATAGTTACCTTTAGAAAAAAAATCATCAAAGCTGAGCTGATCAAAGGCGACGTGCAGCCAGCAGCCGCTCTTTTAGGTGGAAGATTTCCTTGCATGTTACTTTATGCACACGTTTAAATTGTAAATCAATCAACACACCTGACTTTAGGTGAAACAGCTTTGACGATTATGTTTTGTTTTATTGGCTCCCTAGTATGTCATGAGCCTCAGTGATGATTGATTTATCATGCTACTAGAATCCAAACGGGTTCCTGTGCAGAGCAAAGGGGTCAAAAAACAGCTGTAAAGCAATCTCAGCCTTCTTCAGCAGGCAGCTATAGAGACAATTTAGCTTTAATTCTGTAAACTGTTGTCAGTGATCCAGCTCTCAGAACAGGGAGTCTTGGCCTTAAAGAAACTTTTGACTAATTGCTGTTTACACCCGATGCTCCAAAAAGTTGGACAGGTCACAGAGACATACATGATCGTAAGATAGCTGATAAGTCCAAAGATTGGTGTATACCAGACCATCGCATACCAACTATGAGGGCAGGTCAATCTTTGACATTGCATCACTAATATATCACTGAATATTACTTAAAGTGCTGTAACAACAATTTACAAATGAAATATTTTGTGTTTTTTTATTTTTTTTTAAATCAAATTAAGTTTGAATAATCCTCAAACAAGCATTCCTCTGCCCTGTGTAGCAGGTGCTTCATCTCTCTGAACGTCTAGACGGCCTCGTCATGACGTGTCCAGTCTCTTAGTTTTTTAACACCCCATGTCAGCATTTTGCTTCACGGTCATTGACTAATGCCTGCTGACGCAACCCTGCCCCCCAGAGTCTGAACAGTGTCTTCTCAGATGATGATGATGAGGATGATGATGATGATGATGGTGATGATGGTGGGGGTGATGATGATAGTGGGGGTGGGGTAGGTCGGCTCAGAGAAGCAGCCTGAAGCTCTGCTCGGTTAGCATCACGGTGTGCCTGCGGCCATAGAGAGTTTTGCTCCTGCAGCACCTTTATGAAACAAAGAGGGGGAATGAGGAAGACCTCTGCTGCAGTGAGGGGCGGGTGATGGTGCAGATGAAATGTGAAACAAAGACCACCTCCCCCCCCCCACACACACCACCTCCATCGCTCCTCTCCCGTGGCCTCGCTGCCCTCGGAGTAGCCGGGGCTGGCGCGGTTGAGTGACATCATCTCTATCTAATGTGATTGTGGGCCCACGGAGGAGGAGCAGCCGGCTGCATCAGGGGGGCTTTGTTGGCCATCACATCACGGCAACAAAACAATCCCGCTTTATTCCGAACAGCGCTCTCCTCCGGGCCCACCGGCCGGAGAGAGGGAAGAGAGAAGCTGACGTCGTGTTGGACGCCAGGGGCTTCACACAGTGTTTCTCTGCTTCATATTTCTTCAGAGTGCCAGAACAAAGAAGGATTCATGAGAAGCTGGCTCCGATCTGAGTTCCAGAGAGAGAGCCCTCCACTGGAGAGGAGCAGACATCACCGTCACACAAACAACATATGACCTCCTTATTGAGGAGAAAAGATGGGACTCTTTCCTCACTGCTATGATCTTAACAACTAGTTAGAAATCAATCAATCAGTCATCAAGCAAGCACATGCACTGTATATTAACATGGACAACACATCCCTGTCTCCTTCTGTTGTACAAATGAGAATAAACAGCCAAGTCAAGACGTGTGCCGAAGGGAGCTGGATGGTGGAACCACTGAATTGAGGCCACGCCCCTTCTGCTAACCAAAAACACACAACCTAAAGCTACTAAAGCTATTAAACGTCAAAGATCCGTTAGGTGTGGACAGTCCACTGCAGAACAGATCTGAAGCAGACACTAACGTTTATATTTTTGTGAATTTGTATAATGTTTCCTCTGACCCCTCCTAATCTTCTCTGATAATCCAGTTAAGAATGCTGCGAGGACACACATTTTCCTAATAGAGCCGTCAATCATGACGTTACAGCCAATCTTTTTTATATATCAAAGACTTATTCAAACAAAACTACTGAGAAATATGAACATTTGGACATCACTTGGACTTCACAGTTTGACCCATGTCCCA